GTTAGGATTGGTGGAGGAAAAAGAACACTGAGCTAGGAGGAGACTCTATGGTGGGGGAACCAGACTTCCGGTCAGCTCCAGAATTGAACTGGGGGGAGGGTGTCTTCTGGTTAGGACCTTTGTGGCTCTTTGAGTGTTTAAGTTTGCCAACCCTGCCCTAGACATTGGGACCTTTTGGCCATAAATGGGATGGGACGGGATGGAGTTCTCACCAGTTCCAACTGGAATGGAAACTGTTTAATGAGAAGCTATCCTGATATTAGAGCAGTTAGAATGGTTTTCCTTCTCTTTTCACTTTACCATAATCTGCAGAAGTGTCTGCAGAGGGGGAAGAGGTAAAAATAAATCCTACAACACGTCAAGTGCTGGGTCATAATAACAAGCCCACCCCTTTTATACATATGTGTGCTGTCTGCATAAAAAGGGCAGGACTTCACTCGCAGTGCCACACTTGCCATTTTGCAGATTTTGTCTTCCTGCACTAGGCCTACTGCTAGCCCAATCTATCAGTTGCAATTAGGGAGCTGTAGCTTCTTGGTCACAAAATCCTGTTTTTGCATTGGCAGCATGAAGAACTTTTTTAAAGGAACAACATACATAATTAGAAGCAAACAAATGGATGGGCTTGTTGGCAAATCCAATTTCCCCAGATTAGCATCCTGCAACTGGGAGATTTATGGTTCAGAAGGGCTTATCTATAATTCAACACTTTGCAATTGCTGGATAAAATTTGGAAGCACGTTCAATCAGATGGTGCAGTTTAATTTTTTGAGAGGGAATAAATGTTTTAATTATAACTAAAATGGGAAGCCCACTATAGGATTGAGCACAGAGAAGCTGACTAGGAATTAGGAGTTAGGATTTATACCATAATCAGATATAGAAACTCTTTCCGCTCTTAACTGTTTTCAAATGTTTATACGTCCTCTTAACTCCCTATGATCCAGTCAGATTATTAAGAGCAATTCGAAATCAAGTTCAACCTCTTGGATTTTATCCCCACTCTTTTTTTTTTTCACAACTCTTTCTACTTTTGGAGTAATACAGGTAGTCAACTCAACTTACGACCACAATTGAGCCCAACATTTCTGTTGCTAAGTGAAACAGTTGTTAAGTGAATTTTGCCCTATTTTAAGTGAACCACTGCAGTTATTAAGTTAGTAACACTTAGTAAGTGAATCTGAATTCCCCATTAACTTTGCTTGTTGGAAGTTCGCCAAAGGGGCTCACATGATTTTGGGACCCTGCAACCGTCATAAATATGGGTCAGTTGCAGAGATGGGTTCTACTTACCTTTACTACTGGTTCGCAGCGGGGCCGTGTGCACGCGCTTGCTTCGCTCACGCGTGCACACGCTCTTCTACACATGCGCAGAAGAGTTTTGATGACATCGGGGTCAGTGGGCGGGGCCTCCTGCCAGTTTTACTACTGGTTCTATAGAACCGGTGTGAACCGGGGGCAACCCACCACTGGCTAGTTGACAGGCATCTGAAATTTTGATCACGTGACCATGGGGATGTTGCAATGGTTGTAAATGTGAAAAACAGGTCACAAGTCCCTTTTTTCAGTGCCGTTGTAACTTTGAAAGGTCACTAAATGAACTGTTGTAAGTCAAGGACAACCTGTAATACTAAGTATCTAACCTTTTTGGATTGGTCTCTTTGCTCAGAAAAACATGGTTAGCCATTAGCATATCAATGACATCTCACACCCTCTTTATTTAATTTATATCTGGAAACCAGAAGATGTTTGTGAATTTTAGGGTTTAGAATATAGCTGTTCTAACTTTCTGAAAGCATTCAACCACGTGGGTAGTTGCTACACAGCGTGGTCTCTGTTTTCCTGACTGAAATACTTAATGAGGGCCATTACGAGGACTGAGGCATGCAGAGACTGGAAATTATAAGGAAGGATAAACAACTGTTCTTTTGCCACCAAAAAGGCACTTTCCCCCAGAGGGAAAGGACTATATCTGAATCACTGAGATCATTAAAGGGAGTATTTCCTTATGAGCTGTTATTCAAGAAAGATATTTATTGTTTGTTTGCATCCTGCCTTTAAGATGGGGAACATATCCAACATATACCTTCTTCCTTCTATCTTCCCTACAACAACAATCCTGTGAGGTGGGTTGCAGTAGTGGGATTCAAATCCCGTCACTACTGGTTTGTTCATGGGTGTGCACGCACTCACACATGTGCGTGATGCTTCTGCGCATGCGCAGAGATATCTGGGCAGATGGGTGGAGCCTCCCGCCGCCGCTGGTACCAGTTCACCCGATTTGGGACAAACCGGTAGCAACCCACCACTGGTGGGTTGGACAGAGAAAGAGTGATTGGCCCAAGATCACCAGGTGGCTAAGGGGAGACCAGAATTTATGGACTCTTTTTTTTTTTGGCTTTAATTTATATGCTGCCCTTCTCCGGAGACTCAGGGCGGCTTACAATGCGTTAAGCAATAGCCTTCATACTTTTGTATATATTTATACAAAATCAGCTTATTGCCCCCACAATCTGGGTCCTCATTTCACCTACCTTTGAAAGGATGGAAGGCTGAGTCAACCTTGAGCCTGGTGAGATTTGAATTTGCAGTAATTGCAAGCAGCAGATGTTAATAACAGTGCTTTAGTCCACTGTACTACAGGCTCTTCTTGCTTTTAGCCTGATGTTTTATTTACATTATATTCTTTCCTGTGAACTTTCTCTTGAGGGCAATGTTAAATGAAGAAGATATTAGGCATGCAACATAATTCACTTTTATGCAGCGAAAGATGGATTTTCTGCTTTAACTTTTCTACTATATCTCTTGACTCGATTGCTATTATCATTATTATTTTATTTGGGGCCAATTTTGAGAATTTTGTATATAAAGTAGTAAACAAAAGGCGTGTTGGGTGTGAGAAGGAAATATAGTGGTTTGCATATTTGTGCCATACCCTAGAGTTCTCTGAAAAGTATACTTGGAAACTCCAGTGTGGTTTTGTCTCCATCATCCTCCAGCACAACCAAAGATTGCAATTTTTTTGGCTCTGTTTTAGATTTCCTGCAGCTTTCTAAGTAATCCAGCCCAAAGGATGATTCATTTAATTCATGATTAGTGGACAACAAGCCAATACATACGATACTTCATTCATCCTTGTTTTCTTTGCCTTTAAGATTAAACAAAACTCATTTCCTCATATTTCTTAATTTACGTCAACATAAAATTGCAGTTATTTTTAAATGCAACTCTATAAAAATTCATTTCTGTGAATGTGCTTTGTATTCAATGTTGCCCAGTATAGATATGTTTGAAAGTAACTGCATTTGTGCTGAAAATTAATTTCATTCCACTTAAAATTGATGTTAGCTTTATACCAGAATAACAGAGTTGGAAAGTTGGAGGTCTTCTAGTCCAGAGGTCACCAACTGGTGGTCTGTGGACCACTAATGGTCTGCAAGAAAATTTTTGTGGTCTGCAGAAAAATTAGTTGCAGTTTTTATATTGCACTAAATTAGGGGGCCTCAAACTACGGCCCCTTGACCGGATACGTGCAATGAATGGTTGTGTTGATGAAGAGAGTTTCCCCCTTTTGGGTCTTTTTGTGTGGGTTGGAGGGGGACAGAAATTCCGACTTGGGGTCTGCTTCAGCCTCCTGGTGCAGGGCTTTGGGGAAAGGCTAGAAGGAAGTGCCGCTGTGGCAAAGAGCAGAGGGCCTTGTTCCAGTGGGACTGCATCATGGCCTGGAACTGGCTGATCATCTCAGCCCGCTGAGCCTCCAGGTGCTTGTACCTGGCCTTGCACTCCCACAGGTCTTCCCTCTGCTTGGAAAGCCTATGCTCGTAATCGTCAGTGAGGTGCTTCTGCTGAGCCTCCTTCTTGGTCAGATCCAATTTGAACTGAGCCAGCTGTTTTGCCAACTCTTTCTCGTTAGCTCCAACAACTGCTTCCTGTTGGAGCCCTAAGGAGCCTGGGGAGGTGAGGAGTGGCTGGGAGGGGAGAGGAGGGGCGAGTAGAGGCTGGCAAGGAGCCCCTCCACGTGAGTGATATCGAGTTCACCACGCCCACCCAGTCACATTACCATCTAGCCACGCCCACCCAGCTGGTCATTAGGCAGATCATATCAGTGGTCCGCAGGATTTAAAATTATGAATTTAGTGGTCCCTGAGGTCTGAAAGGTTGGTGATCCCTGTTCTAGTCCAACCCCCTGCTCAAACAGGAGGCTCTACACCATTCCAGACAAGTGACTGTCTAGTCTCTTTTTAAAGCCTACAGTGATGGAGCACCCACAACATTTGAAGGCAAGCCATTCCACTGGTTAGTTGTTCTCACTGATAGGACATTTTTCCTTAGTTCTGGGTTGTTTCTCTCATTGATTATGTTCCATCCATTGTTTTTTGTCTTGCCTTCTGATGCTTTGGAAAATAAGTTGACCCCCTCTTCTTTGTGGCAGCCCCTCAAATGTTGGAACACTGCTATCATGTCAACCCTAGTCTTCCTTTTCACTAGACTAAAAGGTAAAGCTAAAGGTTCCTCTTGCACGCATGTGCTAGTCGTTCTCAACTCTAGGGGGCGGTGCTTATCTCTGTTTCAAAGCCGAAGAACCAGCTCTGTCCGAAGACGTCTCCGTGGTCATGTGGCCAGCATGACTAAATGCCAAAGGCGCACGTAACGCTGTTAACTTCCCACCAAAGGTGGTCCCTATTTTTCTACTTGCATTTTTTACGTGCTTTCGAACTGCTAGGTTGGCAGAAGCTGGGACAAGTAACCGGAGCTCACCCCGTTACGCGGCACTAGGGATTCGAACCACTGAACTGCCGACCTTTCGATTGACAAGCTCAGCATCTTAGCCACTGAGCCACTGTGTCCCTTTCTTCACTAGACACATCCAATTTAGCAGAATTAAAAGATGAGAATAGAAGAGATGTAAATGGATAGCAGCTAATGTTTTTGATTTTTTTTGTTATAGTGTGCAGGACTTTGCTTTGTTTGATAATAATGATTACGTGTTTTCTTTCCAGAGCTCTTCCTGCCATGATGCAGTGGGTCCAGGCTCAGACACCAGGTGAAAGTGGTATCAACATTGTCACCGCAGACTTTGTAGAACTCGGCGAGTTTATCAGCACAATCATAAAACTCAACTACAGCTTGGATGAAGGTGAAGCTGATACAACCTGATAGTACTGTAATGTCTCCAACATGCGCCACAGTTGAACTTTTTTTCCAGTTGTGTTAGGTTAGGTTGTAATCTTGTAACCACAGATTTTGCAAGCACATGCTGAACATTATCATTTTCTTTTGAAAGTGTCGAGGAATTGCAAAACAGAATAGGCAAAAAGGGGAACATTTTTACAAGGTGTAATAATTTCCTGACGTTGATGCAACTGTATTTCTTGAAACCCAGTCAGGATTCATTATTTAAGTTATCATAATTCAGAAAGCCATTAATAAATATTCTGCCAGCAACCAATGTGCTTTTGGCCATACGTATGATCACTGCTAAGCTTAATTCATAACTGGCAGCCATTTACTGTCCTTTATGCAATAAATTCCCATTGCTGTTAGGAATTTTGCTAATGGATGAGAACTGTGCATTATCATATCAAGGTGTAGCATCTGCCAGTGTACTCCATTAATTAATGCTGAATTAATTGATGGCATGAGCTTGATTCTGCTCAAGTGGAAGGGATAGGCCATCAATATTAAACACTAATCCCAAGTTGTTTTAGCTCCACTGTCTACTATGTGTACATTTTCTGGAAATTCAGAACACTTTGAATATTTTTTTTTCATTTTTTTTTTTAAAAAAAGGAACATTACATTGTAAATCTAACTTTGTCTTCTTGCAACCGGCGGACAATCTGCCATTGATTATTGGGTAAAAAGGAATAGAAAACATTGAATAGTGGCATTAAAGTGAGACTATAGAATGGCATTACCATTATTAGAGAGTGGCCTATTTTTATCTTTTACTGCATATTTAATTATATGCATATTTTGAATTATATTTAAATATATTTTAATATTTTAGGAGTTGAATTATTAAACTAAATCATGATTACTTATGGATCAGTGACCACCAATAGTCACATAGAGATAAATCATATTTACACAGCATTCAAAAGAGATAATAAAAAAGCTACGGAAAAAAAACAAAGCCCAGACACTTCTCCAGCAATCAATATCCAGATAAGCAAGGATTATCATTAAACAAATAATCAAACAGAAAACAATAACCTAATCAGGAACTATCAAGGAGACACCCCCCCCCTCCATTAACACTGGCAGAATAAGCTCTGTATATAAACAGGGAACAAATCCCACATTCACTCACATTGGTGCTGTTACCTGGTTTGGTAAATGAAAGGTTTGCAAGCAAAAAACCAACCTCATAAAGCACCAAGGACCCAACAGTTCTACCTTAAGCTGCATATATTCTTTTGTATTTGGAGACTGCCAGGATATAGAGAATAATATAAGGTTAGATCTATATTTAGCCATGCTTAGAGATTCATTGAAATCATGAACTGATATGTCACATTGATTTCACTGGATCATCTCTCAGCCTGACTAGGTACACATCTACTCCACTATTTTTTTTGTAGAACTCAGTATTAATACCTCCAAATATGAATTTTGATAACACATAAAAGCAGCATGCATTTCTTTTTAACATCCAGAGAAAAATACTTTCCCAGTTTGTTCGAAGCAAAAAATAGAGAAGTATATCTCAAGAGGATAAGCAGAATAGTTCAGTGAACATTAATAATACGAAGCTAATTTTTCATTGTCTGAGTGAAAGAACACTAAAATCACAAAAACAACCTGTAGTACATTATAATAGAAAAGTCTCCCACTCACTTGCTGCATAAGGGAATATCCAAATACTAAGAGATGAAATAGTGAAATATGTTAATTAGGAGTGAATAACCTGTAGCCCCTTTATCTTTTATACAAATAATAGTTCCTGAGCACAAACTCAGTTGCTATGACTGGAGAAGGTTCCACCATGTGGATTAGTTGATTCCACCAAGTAATCTTTCAAGTGTGTAGACTTCAACTGCCCATGTTGGCTGAGGAATTCTGGGAGCTGAAGTCTTAACAGAACAGAATAACATAATTGGAAGGGACCTTGGAGCTCTTCTAGCCCAACCCCCTGCTCAGACAGTAGACCCTACACCATTTCAGACAAATGGTTGTCCAATCTCTTCTTAAAAACTTCCAGTGTTGGAGCATTCACAGCTTCTGCAGGCAAGTCATTCCACCGTTTAATTGTTCTAACTGTCAGGAAATTTCTCCTTAGTTCTAGGTTCTCTCCTTGATTAGTTTCCATCCATTGGTTCTTGTCCTACCTTCAGGTGCTTTGGGGAATAGGTTGACTCCCTCTTCTTTATGGCAACCGCTGTGTCAAATCCCCAATATCAAGCCCTACCATCTAATATCCAGATCCACATTCCTTTCCCTGTTATAACTTCCCACTCTCCAGGATATTACGATCTGAACATTTCCAAGTCATTTCAGCTTTTGATTTTTCCCCTTCTATTTCTCCTCATGCAATTCCTCATTCTATTTACAGCAACTTTCCTTAATCTGGGGCTATGATTCCCACCCAGCATGAATTATGGTGGTGAAGTTGCTGATAATGACAACTTTGATTAACTTGCTAATAGTAGTTGTTCTGTGTCCTGTTAACCCCTTTTGCCGAGGGAATGGATATTTCCCTTTCCTTCCTCTTTATTTTGATTTAAATCTTAACATAGGTTAAGAATTCTATGAAGTCAGTTTTCATCTGTTCCCAGAATAGCTACCATTAGTGAGATAAAATATTTATGAATGTAGGAAATACTCATCCCAATAAATACTTGTAATCATCTGGTGGCTCAAATACAGTATATCATTTAGTCTCTATACCCAACGTATTTTATGTACTTAGGCAGAACCAAGGACCTTAATTTTGACATTAATCATAGCTTGAAATGGGTAATGTAAGAAGTTTGCAATGCCTAATTCAGAGGGATTTTTTTTCTTGATTTGTCAATTTCCTTTTAAAAGTCCTTATTAGAATTATTTTAAGGAGCAAAGGACCAAATAAGATTGAGGGAGAAAAGATCTTCAAAACATAATTTCTCCAGGAATATCTGACTAGTTTGTTTGGAAAGATGCATTAGACAACCTGGACCTTTGACCCAATCTAGCAGCACAACTTTTGCAAGTGTGTATGTACATGCAGTTGGGAGCAAATCACAACCAGTTCCTTTGAATTCACATTCAAAACTTTCCTTTGAAGAATAACATTTGAATGCCCTTGGTGAGGCCATGCCATTCGTTTGGGTTACCTTTAGAGAATCCATGACAAGGGAAGATGGGAGTTCACAACTAAAGGATGCTAATTTGAGGAATCTTACAATATTATTCCTTCTGACATTAAAGCTAATGCCATGTATAGTCATCTAAAGGGCAAAAGTCTATGAGTCCAATTCCTAGTAGAGACTTTGAAACCACAGAATGACATTTAACTACCTTCATCTGAAGAGTCTCAGTAACACGGTGTCGCCTGATATTCCATCTACCTAACCTTATGAAATATTAGATGCCAGTGTCAAAATTTACACAACGTTCCTTCTCCACTGTTCTCTTCTGAATATGAGGTAGATTTGGGGGAAGGGCTGCTCAAATTGTCAATATGGCAGTTGACATGACTCTAGTACAGTGGTGGGTCGCCCCCTTTTCGGACCAGTTCGCAAGGTAGTAAAACTGGTGGGAGGCTCCGCCCACTGACCCGGACGTCATCATAAGTGATCTGCACATGCACAGATGCTTCTGCGCATGTGCAGAAGCTTCTGCGCATGCGCAGAAGAGTGCGTGTGGGCACGATGCGAACCAGTAGTAAAGGTAAGTAGAACCCACCCCTGCTCTAGTACCTTCACACATTCTTTCACAGATGGATACTTAGAACTCCAGTATACAGCCTACAGTCAAGGTCACTGCAAGGAGTTAATGTTGAATAGTCATAAAAGAAGAATGTATTGTGTGTGCGCATAGCTATAGTACAATATATCTTAGATTTACTGGAATAATTCAGATGTCAGATTAGCATCCCTTGTAGTTTTGATTCAAGCTCTAAAAACAAAGAATGGCTCCTGCAGATATAACCAAATATCTTTCCTTGTTTTATTGATGTTACTGAACTACAGGTAGAAAAAAAAATAGAAACATTAATTAATATATATTTACGTGTAACTAATAATTACTTTCCTATTAGAGAGATCTAAACTAGCATGGAAATGACAACAGATGGATATATTGGCCTTCATTAAAAAGAGTTAAGACCCATTTTGTCCTTTGGTGGAAGTAATCAGTGAGAGACAAAACATCAAGTGAACACAGTGGGATAAAGCAAGGCTACACAGTTTTAATGGGGAACTTTTGCAATAACAGTTTTAAAATTCTGCAGTTCCAATTCAAGTGATTTGGCATTTGAGTCTTTCCACAGCAGGACACTCATACAATGTATACTCATACAAATGGAAAAACTTTATGCACAGTTTTTCCAAGGGATGGGGGCTGCATTTTACAAATTAGACCTAAAATAGGCCTAAAATAAAATAAAGCCTAATAAATAAATTAGGCCTAAAATAAAAGCTAAAGGTGATCTTAATAAAATGTAAACCAAAATGGGCACACTTGATCCATGGATTAAACCTGTCTCCCTTGGGGCACATTAAACATTATTTACTCAGAGTAGTATAGCTTATCAATGGCATGAGTAACCATTGACTTTATTAATTAGACTGCACCTTAAGTACTGCAATGAAATCTGCATACTGCACCGTAGGAAGGCAAAGCAGAACAACTTCAAAGAAGGACAATAAGGACGATAAGAGCTCTACAATCTTATTCCTGTGAGATGAAAGAACTTAGAATGGGTAGCCTTGAGAAGAGAAGCTTAAAGAGAGATATGATCACATTCTTCAGTTTCTGAGGCTATCACATAAAGCCAAGAACTGTTCTCTGTCACCCAGGGGTGAAATGCTACCTGTTTGGACCGGTTTGCCCGAACCAGAAGTAATAAAAGCTACTGGTTCGCCTGAACCAGTAGCAAAAAAAATTGCTACTAGTTCGGACCAACCGGTATTTCCGACAATCAGCTGTGCCGCGTGATTTATATTCGCTAGAAAGCAGGGAATCCTGCTTTCTAGCGAATCTAAATCACGCGGCACAGCTGTTTTCCCTCGCCCTCGCTGTTCTACTTACCTTAAAAAAGGCTTCTTAATTCTCCTTTTTCAGTGCTGTGTGGTAGCACCTGCGGTGCGCCTGCACGTGAAGTGTACATTTGGTGCACACTGCACGTGGGTGCGCAAAGCACATATTTGACAAACCCCGTGTATGCGCATGTGCAGGGAACCAGTAGCGAAGCAAACCAATAGCAGACTTCGGAGCATTTCACCCCTGCTGTCACCCTAGAGTGCATAACACGGAATTTAAAATTAAGGGGCAAAGATGCTCACAGTGGAACAAGCTGCTAAGAGAAGTGGTTGGGACCTCCTTCACTTTCATTTTTAGACCTGCACTGATCAGAACGATTGAGTTTGATGGCCTTCCAACTTTGTTAATCCATGGTTCAGGATGAATATTTTTCTATGTTTGCCTTTGTGTTTTTGTTTCTACATTTATTTCAATCCAGTGTGATTTTAACTAGTTCAAAGCACCGTCTCCCTTACTGGAATGTAAAAAAAGCAAAAAATAAAAAAATAAAAATAAAAAAGAAGCTTTCAGGTTGGGAAGCTTTAGACCGAATGTTTCTGAAGGTGACTTGTTCTTCACAGGGTGTTTAATTTCAAAGAGAGCACCTGGAGACACAAGCACAGCCATCTAAAAAGTGTGCTTTGTGTAATTGTAATGATAAAACTTTCTTAGATGTTTCTTTCTTTCCAGTGAAGCAAAAGTTAATAGTGTATTATACAATCTGTGTGGTATAATTCTTCAGTAGCCTCTATGTTTACACTGTTTTGAACCGTATCTGTTTACTTAATCACAAGATTCTTTTAAGAAAAATGCTGTATGCAGTGTAAAATGTATTAATGACATACTTGTTGAAACTTTGGTGATTCCCCTCTCCATAATTCTGAAACTGTGCCAGTGTTCCTGTAAGTTTCCCTGTGTACGTTTGCGTGTATGTGTGCAGGGGTGTGGGTTGTGTGCATTATACAATTTATGAGAATTAGCAACTTAATTCTAAATGAAAAAGCTGGTTGTGTTTCTTAAAAGCTGCGTCTGTTTAAGAGTTTGTGAAATCTTGAAGCTTCATGTATGGTTGAGGATTAATATATATGGACCAAGATCTCCTATAGTGAGCTCCTATAATAAATAAGGATTGTTGTCCTTAGTATGCATTTTAAAAAATCATAAACATTAAAATGACTTGTGGTGTTTTGAAAGAAAATAAATACTGAATAATAACCATGAATCTCACATCCGAAAATGGGGAAAGAATTGATTTATAAGTTTCTTGGGAAATTAAATTACATGTTTGTCATGCAGTTTGGAAATTCATCTGTCTGTGTTCCAGCATGAAGACTGAGTTCAGGCCCCAGAAGGAAGATGGATAAATTCTGTAATGTTTAAAACTCAAGTCTATTAATATAACCACCAGTAAATCTTAGCCTTATTACTCTCCCAATCTGAATTTTATATTTATAAGGAAAAGTGGGATATCAATTGTAAAAGTTTTTTTAAAAAAAAGAAAACCCAAAACAAAACGTTCTTTGTTTTGTGGTTTGAGTGATTTTCTTGAATGTTCAGAACTGATTGCACTAAACCAATGAAAATTAACATATTCATGAATGGCTACATACAGCTTTAATACATTGATTTTCATACTGATCAGCCACTCTTCACAAATAGGAATAGAAATTTGTCCATAGCTTCTGTCTTGGGTGACTGAAAACACATTCAGAATGGGGTAAGCTGATTTAGGAACACTGTTATTTTATTTATTTTATTATTTATTTATTAAATTAATATGCCACTCCACTCATTTTCCATACCTTTAGCTATAAACAACTGAAGCATTACATAAAACTGATTTCTCCTGCATTCAGTACTTACTGATGCCTTTTCAGCAAATTCCAGTATTTTACTGACAGATTAAGGTTGCAATCCTTCACTTTGCTATTTGGAACTGAATCACAGATTGTACCCTGTGTGGGGCTAAAATAAGCTTCCATTGGATCACGCCCTAAAACCATATTCACATACAAAGAATTCTCCAGCCCTTAAAAAAAAACAAAAAACAATTAGGTATATAAGTATAAGCCCGGATATATTGTCAAGCAAAAGCCTAAAACTGACACCTAGAAATGTAAAATTTTCTTGGATTAATCATTAATTGTATGCCTTTTTAAAAATCCAATCTTTCGGCTCCCAAAGGACTCAAGGAGGTAATTATTTAAAGGCGAATTCTGGGGGGAAAGAGTGAAAATTATTACATCATTGTAAAGGCAAAGGCAGAAAGACACTGTGTGCTGAACCTAACTGAAAAGAATTCTGTTCCAGAGTTTGGGAGCAGCAGATGGACATGTTATGCAGTACGCAGTGAGGTGCCCTGTGCGTTGCATAAGCTAGCAAATCTGCTAGCTTATGCTAGACCCCCAGACAGGGCCAGAAAGATTCATAAAAAGTTTCTTCTTTGCTGCTATTCACTGGTCATCCAGTGGTGAATAGGTAGTCAAGAATTCCTTTAGTGACCGTTCGAAGTTACAACAGCACTGAAAAAATGACTTATGACCGATTTTTTGCACCTATGACCATTGCAGCATCCTCATGATCAAAATTCAGACCCTTGGCTCGTGTTTATGACTGTTGCAGTATTCCGGGGTCATGTGATTTCCCCCAAAGTCAATGGGGAAGCCAGATTCACTTAACAGCCATGTTTATTAATTTAACCACTGCAAGGGATTTGTTTAACGGTGGCGGCAAGAAAGGTGGTAAAATGGGGCAAAAATCACTTAACAACTATCTTGCTTAGCAACAGTAATGTTGGGCTCAATTGTGGTCGTTAGTTGAGGACTACCTGCAATCTAAATAAGGTAGCACGTTAGATAAGTAGTCATCTTCTTCCCAATTGTCACAAGTATGTCTTGCATTGGCCTGACAAAATATTGGCCTGTGTTAGATTTGCTATGGTTAAACAAGCTCCAGGAAAATATAAGAAAATATGCTTACCATTCTGTATCTTAGGTCTGCCCACTGCAATAATTATCCATCCAAGAAATGTCAAGCATGGCCTTGGGCTTCTCAAAGGTTGCCAGTCACTTCTCTGAAAGGAGCTGCAGTACTATATTTGTGGTGTGGCTTAATGTACCTTTCTCTCAATCTGCCATCACTTTCCCCATTGCTTAAACCAGAATATTTCCCATTCTGGGTACAAGCACTTTGTAAGTAAGTTCCATCAAGACTTGGTCTCTGTAATGAACACATGTTATCAGGAGATGTGTTCCATTAAAATGAATGGAACACAGAAGTTGAATGTCTTGTGGTGCTTTCAGTGGGACTTAATCCCCCAGTTAATTGGAGCTGGAGTAAAGTTGTATTTCTTTTCTAAGATTAGAAAATCACAAAAGTGATGGATTGTTTTGCAGGCCAAGATTCATTCTTACATTGCTCTAGCTACCAGTTGTGAGTTTTGATGTCCTTCTTGCTTCTTCAGAAAAATGGAAAATTTTCTCTAACAACTCCCTCTTTCCGCTAATGTATTACAGTGACTTAATTTTATTTGGATGGAAATTGTGAATATGTTAACTTGGCTAAAATTGCAATGTGTACCAAAGGTTTACTAGGCTGCACTTTTTTTTTCTTTTCAAATGTAGGTATTTTAATAAATATTGCATAAAGAATATAAACAAACCGCCTACAGTTCTGTATAGCAAATGTGAATTTTTATTACAAAAATATGTATGTAATGTAAAAAAAAAAAAAAAGACCAAATGTTTCTTTGTATTCAGTGAAATGTCAAATAAAGCCCTGGTAACCATATTTTTGGTTTGATTATTTGGTTAATGTGTTGATACAACGTGATTCTAAAATAAAATGTTTTATTTTTTTATTTTAAGTTTTTAATGGCCTTTGCTTCAATGGAATAGGTAGTTGGAAGACCATGAGTAAACAAATGAAAAGCTGGTAAGGCTTTTGACTGAAAGTACATTAGGCTATCAGTTTCACTCAAATGAAACTTGAGTGAAACTCAACTCAACTCATCGGCTGTTTTAAGAGATGCAAATGTACAAGCAATTACTCTAACTCAAATAAAAATGTATTCTGCTGCTTCACCAGGCAGGGGATGGCTGTGATCAGAGGACAGGTGATGTGCCTGCAAGGTAATTAACACTATGCAAAGCTTCCTGGAGATGCTTTGCTGTGATGAATATTTCAGCACACACAGTACCGCTCAGAGCAAGGAAGCCTCTTCCTTCTAAGAGCCAACTGGCTATATTGGTTTGGCTTGGCTTGGCTTGGCTTGGCTTGGCTTGGCTTGGCTTGGCTTGGTTTGGTTCTGCTCTGAGGTCTGCTACCGGTTCGCTTTGCTACCGGTTCACTGTGCACGTGCATGCATGGTGCGCATGCGCACCACAGGCACTACCACGCAGCACTGAAAAAGGATGCTTAAGAAGACTTTTCTAAGGTAAGTAGAACAGCGAGGGGGGGGAAACAGCTGTGCTGTTTAGATTCGCTAGAAAGCAAGACTTCCTGCTTTCTATAAATCACGTGGCACAACTGATCATTGGAAATACCTGTTTGTCCGAACCGGTAGCATTTTTTTACTAGCCGTTCGTCCAAACCGGTTTTATTACTACCGGTTCGGGCTAACGAGTCTGAACCGGTAGCATTTCATCCTTGCTTTGGTTTGGTTTGGTTTGGTTTGGTTTGGTTTGGTTTGGTCTGCTCTGCTCTGCTCTGCTCTGCTCTGCTCTGCTCTGCTCTGCTCTGCTTTGCTCTCTCAGCATTGTTTCCAGTTCTTCAAGCAGAAACCAGTTCAGATCTTCTGAGCTACACTTACAATAGCTTCTTCCCTTGAAGAGATCTTGCTAAGATCTCTTCCAATGGCTTCTTATCTGATCTAGGCAGCCCTTGAAACAGAGGATTATCCAACTGAGCCCCATTCAATTTTATATCAATTTAATATAAGGGTGTAAAAATATTTTCAGGTTCCAGTTACACTTCAAGAAAATAATATATGTTCTATTCCTATATTCTGTGACACACAAATTGTGAGGTTTTTGCTCAATCTCATATGGCTCCACGTTGATGTGCAGGCAGCCACAGTTACCCTGCTTTTTCAGGTCAATTTTCATCTGAGGAAGGATAGACACATAGTAGACATTCAACAGATGCATCTCCTCAATCATCTGACAGATCCCTACGGTGAATGCATATTGGACAAATATCTAGTGCTTTCCTCTGTTATTGCAATTGTGCAGGCAAAAATTCTCATACAGGTAGTCCTCATCCAGCAACCACAATTGGGATCAGAATCTCAAGCAAAGTGGCCATAAAGGAGTCACTCAACAGCCGCAATCCCAGCATTCTCTGGCCTAGGATTCTTCCAACTGTACAATTTGGAGAATGAGGCTTCCAAAAGTCCACAAAAGATGGCTTCTTTTTCACAAACATTTTGCAGAATGGCACGGGGTGGCCCTGCGTCACATCAACTGCGGAAAAGCTGTAAAAGTAAGTGGGGAGCTTTGTGAGCACTGGTGGACCTTTTAACCAGCTGAAGACTCCCAAGGTATAGGACACAGGTAGGCTGGGTGGATGGCTGAAATAGGGGGAGAGATAGCCAAGTTGTGGAAATTCAGCACCCCGGCAGTTGTAAGTATGGGAAAACTGCCAAGCACCTGAATTTTTATCAAATGACCACGGAAAACTGCAAAGGTCATAATTTCAGGCTCAAGGTCGTAAGTCCCTTTGTTCAGCAGTGCTATAATTCTGAATGGTTGTTCAGCAAGGATTCCCCATAATCTTGGCCTGTCTCTGTAATTGTGGCCCTTTGAATCAAGAAACAATGGCCAATGGAGATAACTATTAAGGGGAGCAGGCCTTGATATTATTGGCAGACTTCGCTTGCCATCAATCTCAGTCACCCTTTTTCATTATTTATTTCATTTTTTATTATTATTTAGTACACCACATTGAAAATTTTGCAGATTTGAGACAAAGATAGTTGTAATGATTTTATGAAATAGCCTTCCTTGTAAATAACCATGACCTGCCTCGTTGAATTTGGGAATATTATAATGAAGACGACAATTTGCATTATCTGTTGCTACATGAAGAGTACATGACTCCACAGTAATCCATAAAAGAGGGGTCTCCTACTGCAATAGATTGAAGATGTTAGAAAATATAAAATATTAGCAGACAATGAAGCTCATTCTCTGATAGCAACAAAGAGTGCTTTAAATAAATATTAAATATTGAAAATAGCAATTTGGAGCATATATAAAAATGAAACTTGCTCTCTGCAATGTCTAAGGACAGACTTATGAAACATGATTGTCAAAAATAAAGTCTGGGTTCTGCTAACGTTATTTGTAATTAGCCCTTATTATAAAATATAATAGATTGTCAATAAGACAATCTTTCTCAACCTGGCACCCGATAGATAATGATAGATAAATAGATAGATAGAATAGATAGATAGATAGATAGATAGATAGATAGATAGATAGATAGATATCGTAAAGGATGGAAATTCTGAGAGTTATAGACTCAACATATTTAAAAGGTGCTGGATGAGGAAAACTGACCAGAAGGATTTTTAAAATTATTATTTCATTATTTATGTATTGACTGCATTACTCTGCTGCTTTTTGTCAAGGCATTAGAGATGCTTCATCATCAAAAACACTAAAGCTACAAAGGGCATTTAAAAAATAGGTGGTTCAAGACCATAAATGGAGTTGATGAAATTCATCTTGAATTTCTTCCTTATTCTCAGAGTACACAGGACTTTTGTGTTCATTTATAGGCACACATCATGATGTTCATGTTTCAATGTCAATCTTGCTGTCCTCCTCCTTAAGAAATGTAATAATTATAGAAGTAGTTCATAATCCATATTCTTTTTGTTCATAGATGTCACGGGGCAGTACAGTACAAATGTCACGGATGAATCATCCCTACATATACACCAAACCTTGTACGCCTATATATGTGCACAAATTAATGGCAGGCACCATAGAATTCACCTAACCTTACGGGTGGAACTGAAAGACTGAAATTCAACCATGTAGAAAACTCTGCAAATCATTGAACAAAAATGTTTGGAAGCAAGAGAGAGAGAAAAAACTCCCTCCAACCAATTTGAGAATGCTTTTTTACACATACATTTCCCACCTTCTGAAACGCACATAGATGCCTGCTGAACTTTATAGGTCATTGTGGAAAATGTAATTGAATTGTTTCCATTATTTGCTTTTGTCAAAGGCATGGGTCTTACTCTCTTGCTTGCCTTCCTGAATTTATCATTTTAGGCTATGCTTCAAAAAAAAATAAATATATGGCTCCTCTATAAGTTACAAAATGTGACAATTTCATTATGGCATTGATTCAAGCAATCTGAATGCAAATTAGCTGGGGTGACAAGAGGTGATGGCAACGGAATAAAATGGCACAGCTACCTCCTCTTCCCTTATCATGGGAAAGTTGATGGTTGCTGCATATCAATGTGCCCTCTGAAACAATATTCAGCTGTGACTAAATTAATTAAAATCTGGTTTTCTAGCTCTGGGGATTAGGGCAGAAATTGATCATTGTCACATTTCATCCATGCCCAGCTCTGCGGAGACTTGAAATAATATTTAATTCTCAGCACCGGTGTTCTGCTATTTATATCTGGAGTAAATAGAAAAGGCAAATTCAGATGTCAGACAGGAAGCTGCCTCATCCAAAGTCAAAACACCATTCTGAGTACACTATACTATAGTCTCCTAGAACAGATAACACATTTTCCCTTTCATTCTATCTACTGCTGGGAATTACTGCTGGGAAAGAACATAGAGCAAGGCCTCTGCCACTGAACTCTGGCTGTTTGATAAAGAAGCTGAGAAGGTTTCCAAGACTGATTAAAATGGGTATATAACCTATTTTGTAGGTTGGAGTCCTTGGTGCTCTCCGAGCTTAGTTGGAATTTATCCCCTGTTTATATACAGCACCTTGCCCTACCAGTGTTGGTAGAGGTGTGGTTTCATCCTTTGTAGTTCGTTGCTTAAGATATTGTTTTTTGCTTGATTGTTTGTCTGCTATTAATTTTATTAAAGTTTATAAATATAAAGCTAAAAGATTAATCTTCTTCTTCTTGTTGTGCCATATCCGTCATCAGATGTTGGCGATCATGTTGGCAATCCTATTTTTGTCAACAGCCGCATGAAAAAGTGCTGCTGAGTCTTTTTCCAAGCCAGTCCTTTAGGTTTTGAAGCCATGGTGTTCTTCTTCTGCCTGGATCTCATTTGCCTTCAATCTTTCCCTGGAGGATTAAGTGAAGGATGCCATATTTTTCTGGATGTCGCATCACATGTCCCAAATATTCTAACTTTCGCTTTTTAATGGCTTTGATGATTTCCCTTTGCTTTCCCAAGAGGTTTATCACCTCCTCATTTGTGATTTTGTTAATCCAGTTTATACGTAACAATATTAAAAGATTAATACAAAATAAAAAAGTGCAAATAAATAGAAAAAAGAAAAAGCAGATATATAAAAAAGATATCTTCTCCCTCCCTGCAGACAAGTGTAAACAATGTCAGTACCTTAATAATTTCTCTAGTATTTCACTTAAAAAAACTTCCCAATATCTTATCCCTTATCAGTAATCAAATTGTGAATCAAATTCATCATTCACTCCTAATCAGCAGAAGTCTATTAAGAGCTACCAGAAATAGTAACAAATGTATCTTAATATTAAAAAGTCCATTTTGCAATCCGATTTATCATTTTCTCTAAGAAATAAAGCAAACACTTATGAACAGGTCCTTGAATCC